ATTTTTTGGCTTAACGCCATTGCTGTCCGATCAATTTCTAGGGGGAAGGGGGATTTTACTGAAAAATGTCGATTAAAGGCACAAAAATGTAACTTTCAGTTTCCAAGGACTTCAAGCTATGGAAATAACCAGACTTTGACGGCCATTTTCTCGCTAATTCTACCTTTGAAACTACACCACCCCACATTCTTCAATCTCATAAAATTCGACATCTATTCAAGAAAGATGGGAATTTATTTTACCAATAGCAAGACAACTGAACAAGCTTTAAGATGATACCAATAACTCCACATGCCCAAAAATTGACGAGTGCCTGATCCCTCGGCGTCGTGACACAAATAAAGATAAAAATGAGGACCTACAGGAGCCAGTCTCCAGCTTACTGTGAACACAGACAAAAGAAAGACCCAATGGGTTTTTTTGTTGTACTGACTTGCAACTGTAAGTCACAGATATTAGTCTTTTTGATTGATGGGCTTTTGACAATTTTGCCTGTTATATTCCCAAACATGTTTTCCCTCCTTTGATTACCCATTAAAAAGTTGGGTTTTATAAAATGACAATCACAAAGCAGCTCAGATGTTACAAACTCACCGAGTAATACTTCCTGCGGACAGAGCTCATCTGCATAAGGGACGTACGCTTGCTGCTGATGTTGCGGAACACTCGGAAGACGAGGTAGCAGAGGAAGACGAAGTACAGACAGGCTGAGATGCCAGCCACGATGATGAAGCCCAGCTGAGGGGTGACTCAAGGAAGATCACGCAGTGTTTGTTCATTTTTGCTAAAATTTAGATTTTTTAAAAGTTCTAGTAAAGAATTTTACGGCACTTGTGACCGAATCAGATCATATAAGTGCCAAGATTAAAGGTGTTATAAATATACAAAGAAAAGAAGGTAGAGAGACAAGGATGATAGATGTACGATGATTGGAAAGAAAGAGTGAACCACACCAAAGCATCCGCCAACCACCAGCTTGCACATATGACAATAAGTCATTTAGTGCAGGGTTGAAGTTCGACCAAAAATGGAGACAATAAAGTTAGTAAAACATTGCACAAACTAGCGAAATGGACTCAAAGGGGAACAAAATATAATTGGTAACAATTTGAGGTGAAGAGAAAGATTTCAAGAAAGCATACCAAACTAGCAGAATTGATAAGAACAGACTCTGACATTAGAAAGTCACATTAAAATTTAGTGTGCAGAAAATAAGTTTTTGAAGAAAGCCGAAAGAGAAAACCTTGCAAAACAGAAAAACTGAATATGTGAAGGAGCACTGGCCATAGTCTCCATTCCATTCAGTCATCCAAATAAATCATAAGATTATTCAAATAAAGAGTCTGAAAGGAACAATTTAATTTGAACATAATATTGTACGCAAAAGTTGCCATTCAGATTAGCAAGTCAAAATTCACAAATAAATAGCCATCCTGTAGCTCTAACTTTTTATTCATAGGCTGGGTGGCAAATTTATATCATCCTTAATGTTTTACCCTTCCATAAACACAATTTAGATCATTTCTCGGAAGGGGGGGGGGGGGAGGCTCTATTAAACCTGCCTGTCTGGGCCAAGTCAGATAGAGAAGGCCACAGTGTACCAACAGACAGATGTAGATACTCAATGTCCTAGTCTCCCAGAGTGGGGAATCAAACTCACCTGTGTGCAACAGCAAAGAGCTAGAATTTTAACACTTTTGGTACTGTCAGCAACTTTAGTCACTAGGCCGTAGTACGCCCACATTACCACTGGCAACTTCAGTCGCCGACTCAAGCAAGCACACTAAACATAATCAAACAACCAACAGAGCCACTGCACTGAAGTAAATACCAAAGGAACTCTCTCTTTTTTTTTAGTAGAGGTTTTACGGTGCTCGCAACTGCATAAGGTCATATGAGCGCCAGAAGATTAGAGGTGTTACAAGAGAGTAACAAACATAAAAAAGAAGAAGTGAAGATAAGGACAATAGATGTTTGATAGGAAAGAAGAAGCAAACCACACCAGAGCACCCGCCAACCACCCACGAACTCTCTCTGTATGATAGCTGAATTGTTGATGAGCCTCTGTGAATTTTTAAAGCGTGTTTCTTGGGCTGCGAAGTTTTTTAAAAACTATTTTAAAATTCTACCATGGCTTCAGCGTTCTAAAGTGGAGCTGCACTTGAGGGTTTTTTTTACTATATGAGCCTTTGGTACTGTAAGTGTTAATCCAGAGAAGCAACTTAACATAACATAACTACAAACTCCATATAAACAAAGTGAAGGATACAGCAGCAATCGCCCCTACTTCAGACGACCAGATGCTGAAAAATGGATTGGTCAGCTGCACACCTCTGTGGAGGAAAGAGGATATCCTTTCATTACAACAGTCTATGGCAAGTCACCTCGACCACCTCTTGATTTAGTACGAGTTCTATGGCATGTGTTGGTCATATAAATAGGTGCTGAAGACTACAGGTGCTACAAGAGAGTAAAAAAGTAAAAGTTGTTCCCGCATCCGATCCGGACATTGGGGATAGCCTTGTTAGTGAGACAACTTCCTGGGCCGTCGGCATATAGTGGTAGGCCGGCCAGTTCCTTTCCACGCCGCCTTTACTTTCCCAACTCAAAGTCAGGTACCCATTACAGCTGGGTGGGCAGGAGGGAACAAAAAAAATCTGTGTCCGAACCGAGGCAAACACAAAAAAGAAGGAGGAGAGATTTAATAAAGATGTTTGATTTGTAAGAAGGAACAAACCGCTCCAGAACATCCGCCAACCACTCACTACAACCTCTACATTCCACAAACAACAAAGTTATGAAAAAACGCAAAATGCACAAGAGGTAAAAAGGCATAGACCATATCAGAAAAAAGGTGATCAAATAAAATACATTTCAACCTGCTCTAACGGCCACAGTACACTCCCTCCCTTGTATGGTTTCTTTTTTACATTATAACGACCACTGTCCAAGATGTCTGCTGCTTAAAACAAATCGCTTTTCTCTTTGACAATGAGTGGGTATCTAAGACAATTTGTGTGTATGCCTGGCGAAAGATCCCAGTAGTCGGAAATTTCGGACATTGAAACAAGAGCATATTCTTGTAGCAAATTTCCTGCAGAACACACCAATTTAAAAAATGTTTCAAATATCTTGATTAATTTTAAAGATGTGCCACATTTTGTAACATAGGTGTGAAAACAAAGTTTGGAGAAAACCCCAATTCCTGGCATATTTTTAACCTTTGGTGAAGTACAACAAGTTGCAAAAATAGCAAATAAAAAAATGTTTAGACTTAAAATAATACAAAATCCTTTTAATATGTAATTAAGAAATAATTAAATATGTTTTCTGATGGAACTAAATTTTTGACCGGTACGACTTTTTTGGCCTTTTCACCCCATTGCTAAAAATAGCTTTGCCAACAACTGAAACCTTTCTCCAGGCACACACACACATTGTAACAGTATTTAGCAACATCTCTGATCGCAGTTAAGAATAAAGCCATCAATAGTAAGATCCATAGCTGCCAAATTTTTAAAACAATAAAAAAACAACCCTCCCATGTGGAAGGTCAAGATGGTGGGCATCAGCCAAGAAACTCCCCTCCAAACCCTTTCTTTTTTCTTTTTATTTTTTTAGTAGGGGTTAGTTATGCTCGCAACAGCATAAGGTCAGATAAGCGCCAAGGGGTTGATGTCAACAGAGAAGTCCTTACAGTGAATCAGGCTTACTCTGCTCACCTCTCAAGCTTCAACAGCACAAAGTCTGCTTCGACTATCAAGGCACCCCCGAAATAGCGGGTAACAAGAGTGTGACAAACATACAAAAGAAGTAGAGGAAAATTACGATAGTAAGGATTAGGAAAGAAAAAGCAGCAGTTCCCAATTGCAGTTCAGGCACAGTTATGAGCATGGCATTGATAAATCAGCCCATTTACAATTCTACTGTGCATAAGAACATGTTAATGCTCCCCTTAGGGAATGGCCTACAGACACTTGCAATCTCCTATTGAAAAGCACTGAGCTGCAGGAGGATCAGAAATAATGAGCTGAAACTAAAGAGGCAATCTAACTATTCTAACAACTGTGCCAGTACTCTTTACCGCTTTATTAAAATAGCTAAGGAAGGCTACATTTCCATTGCTGCTTATTTGCCAGCATGATTTGTGTATTCAAGTCAGTAGCCATCAATGCAAAACAAGAGGCTCGTATTTGATAAAGATTAGTCAAATGAGGCCAAAGATTCAAGTCAACGCACCTCTCACACATGTCAAATATGAAGCAAGCAGCAGATGCCAGGATAACAACAGTCAGCTGTTTCCAGTATGCCTTCAGCTGGTTTCTTTCCACTTGGTCCTGAAATAAAGAAATAAAGAAGACATCTTTATGCTTTTATGTTTCTTCATACGGGTTTAAGGGAATAGGGGAGTGGAAGATAGCCCTAGAGAGTCACTTCTTAGATACAAAGGCAATTTCTGTCAGAACTCTATGGATATTGTAGATCTAACTGCAGGAGTAAAAACATCTACAAATTTATACATTTCACAAGACCAAAAGAAAAATAAGCACTTATTTTAAAAAAGACATCTCTAAGAAACAAGTGAGAGGACATTTCACAGACCATCATGTGTTCCCCCACAAAGATGAGCCAGAAGGAGAAGAGCATGGCGTAGAAGGCCCCGTCTCGGATGTCGTTGAGTAACGTCATGAACGGCATACTGACCACCAAGGTCAGCCACTCAATGGGGCCTGCATTTGGAACACACAGCCAAGAGGCAAAAATTAATAAGCTTTTGTCAAGGCTTAGTTTACTTTGAGTACGACTTTACTGTCAGCACTCGCAGCAAAATAAGTCGCACAACTGTTGAAGATTAGAAGTGTTAACTAAGAGTAATAACATATAGAAAAGAAGGAGGAGAGATAAGGACAATAAATGTAAGATAAGATAAGATAAGATACATCTTTATTGTCCAGATCCTGGCACATTGGTTTGGTATTCCACCACGAGTACACACACACACACGCACACACACACACACACACACACACACACACATACACACACACACAAACACACACACACGTGCACACACATGCACACACAAGTAGGCTTACAATCACATGCATAATATAAATGAGCAGCAATATAAACAATAATAATCGTAAGCTGTTTGATAGGAAAAAAGGAGCAAACCACACTTGCGTGCCTTCCAACCACCCACTTTAAGTAAAAGGAAGAACTGTAATAAAATTAGCTTAAGCAAAAAGAAACATATCTACATGACAACCATTTCTTAGAGATTGGAAAGAGCAGACCAGACAGACAGAAATAAAAGAGGACGAGTTGAGCAGCGCGACCTAGCCTCCTAATGTATGAAGGTCAGTGTGGCCAGTGAGGTTAAAAAGCTATTTGAACCCTAAGAAAAATTGCTTCTTGGATTCATTTTCCTCATTGTCTGCAAATCCAGTCTTGAAAGTTCTTTTTTTTTTTCCTTCAGCATTGGCAATTTTGTGAGGAGCAATACTAGAAAACACACAATATGTTCCAATACAAAAAACGACTTCTGTACTCAGAACCTCAAAAACGTATTAAAAACGTCATTCATACTGGTTGGCAGCTATGTTATTGGAAGGGACAAAAAAACAGTACAAAGAACTTACAATTCATTATGGACAGGATGATTCCCAAGGAGAAAAGTGTTCTGAAATACAAGGGAAACAAATTTTTAAAAATTTAGTCTTGTCTGCAAAAGAAGCACACAGACACAATAAAAGATTCAGTCTTTAAAAAATAGCAATACAGACAAGTTTTTGGGGGAATTTTGAAGTGTAAATAATAGGTCATATCAGTGCCACAGTGTAGAGATGTTAATAGAGAGTAACACCCAAAAAAAAAAGGAGGAGGAGAGATAAAGATGACAACGTTTGATAGGAAAGAAGGTGCAAACCACACCACAGGGTGACTGCTAAACTGACTTCACAATTTTCCATTGCAAAAGACTTGGTAAAAAGTGACTGGTCACCTCACTTATTTTTTGTGTGCGAGCTGCGGGAAGGACATAATGGTCAAAATGCTTCCCTCCCCAGCAGCTGAAAATGTTTTGTTACCTTCAGGTCAACTTGAGTAAACAACAGTGGGTGGCACCTACTTGCAAGGGGAGAATGAAAAAGGGAGAATGAAAAGCAGCTGTATGATACAGGTGGCCGTCACGGCAGGTTCGACAGTATTTGAGAACATCTTGCATTTTCTCAGGTCTTTCCTGGGGCAATTAACAGATTTCCTCATATTCCTAGGAGCATTTGTGGGTCTCGGCAATTTCAATTGGGTAAATCAAGAGGCCTCACTGTGACCCTGACACTAGAGTACCTGCCAAGCACCCACTTTAGTTAGCAGGAAGAGCAAGAGAGATAGAGGCTGAAAGGGGACAGAGGCTGAAAGGAACAAATACTACCAGCGACACCCTCCAACTACCCTCTTCATCTTTTTACACATAGAAAATATCAACAAAAAAATAAAACCAGCAGAATGTCGTTTTGTCTGGTGTTGTAGATTTTTTTTTTTCTGTAAGTGTTTTGCAGCGCTCGCAGCTGCATAAGGTCATATGAGCATGTGGGACACATTAAACATTTTCAGTTGGTAAGCAATTTTGATTTTGCCAAGGTGGCAGCCGAAGCCTACTCTTATCGATTTTAGACAACCCAAGGATCTTTAACGTGCGCAACTTGCACATGGGACCTCCGAGATTTTTCACCCTTGTCTGAGAAGGCTAGGTGTAGATCTTTCCTACCAGAAGATCAGGGTTGTGGCTGAAAGACAGCAGTAAAAAGGACCAAGGTGTAGCAGTAGAGAGGCTGCAGAAGAGTCAGGAGCCCAGAGGAGGGGGCAAAGGAGGAGAGGGGCTGGGGGGCAGAAAGTGGAGACGAAAGCAGACGACAGAACATTGCTAGAGAGCATGAAAAGAGGTGAAAAGAGACAATTTTAGAGAAGAAAATTTTTACGTCGCTACCAGGATTCAAACCCGCAACCTTTGAATGAGAGGCGAACACCTTAATTAACCTCTAGGCCACGAGAACACCCGGTGTTGTAGACTGTACTGAATAAAAGGGAGAAAGCCCATATATCAACAACGTCGGACAACATCCAACATTGAAACCAACAACAAAGACATCCGCATCACTGATGACAACAACAATCAATACAATATGGACAACAACATTGAAATCAATACCAACGACATCAAGATCAACAATAATAAAAACATCCACTATCAGAATGACTATTGATATCAACATTAACAATAACAACAAGAGAAAAAAAAGGGCACTGACCTCTCTGTCAGATTGGTAGCCCGTCCTTCAGTCAGGACACGCTGCCAAAACCAAAGGAGCACGGCCACCACTGCCGGGAACAGGACTGTCTTGATGGAGAACCAGACTTTAGTGAAGCCACCGTTTTGGAAGATAACCTGTGGTCAATTGGAATATAACCAAATATAAGGCACTTAAAAGTCTCTTCGAGCAAAGAGTAACATTTAACACAATAATGGTCATTGAGTGCAGGAAAAAAGTATGACAGACAGAAAACAAAAAAGCAAAGAGTATGAAAAATGAACAGAAATAGCAGAAGTTAAAATTTTAAAAAAGAAGCAGGGCCTCCTGCTGGCACCATCCCACCACCTACCCAAGTATGATTTGGGATCCCTTTCCCGCTTTTGGATTAAAACAATGTTAGGAAGTAAATATGGAAAAAAAATAAAAAAAGAAACCTTGAAATAAAATAAAAGGCAAAGGAAAAGAAAAGACAGTCATAATAGATATACAAAATTATTACAAAAATTCCACAAACCTTCTGTTCAAATTTGATCAGAGTTAAAGAGAAGCACATTGACACAATAAATGTCTTTCAGTTTTATAAAAAAAACAAAAAACAAATGCAAACAAAGCATCTTCTATTTTCTACCATTTAAATCTATTTTTTCCATTACAACGCAGAACACATGAACCGTGAACAAACGCGTGATGGGAACAGACCAGAACAACAATGGTTTTTTGAGCATCCAAGAAGAGAAATGAGTGCTGAATAATGATTGCTGATGTCCATTTCAAACCTGGCATCCGAAGCAGAAGAACTTACCACCATACTGATGTGGTTTGTTCCTTCTTTCCTATTAAACATCTATCCTCCTTTTCTCTCTAAACATCTCTTGTAACACCTCAAATCTTCGGCACTAATAATGAACTTCTGGTGTTGCAAGTGCCGTAAAATTCTTACTAAAACAAAACAAACTTACCACCACAGCGAGATCATCCAGCTGTCCTATGATGTTGATATCAGTCCTCTTGTCAATGGGCAGCCGGATGTTGATCAGGTAGAAGTCGTAGAACACAGTGCCCAGTTCAAAGAAGGGAAGCAGATCACACTGGTAACGCTTTCCATCCTGTCGCTGAAAGAGAAATGATTTGGTTTCCAATATACTTGTTACTTACTTTTACTTTTTCATCCTCTGTTGCCGTTAAGCGTCAAGGGGAGACGCAGTTTTCTATGGTAGGCCAGCTCTG